AAGATTAATGCTGCTGCTAAAATTGCTGTCAGTAAGAAAGCTCATTAATTGAATTTGGGGATATATTATTGTATTAAAGAATTGGTTTATTTTTTTTTAATATTAATTAATTTATTACAATAAAAAATAACCTTTGTAAGTATTATTTAAAATAATCTTTAATTAATTTATTAATATTATTTAATAGACAGGTTTAAATGCTGACATTCCTCTTGAATTTCTTTTTTCTATTGGACTTTGTCTAAAATCATTTATTCCTTTCTTTTTTTCTTATATAGAACTTTTCTTATTAAAAAAGAAATAATATATTAACTTATTAATTTATTCTTTTTAAAATAAAAATATATGAACAAACGGAATTGTTGGATCTTCAGTTAAACGTGGTGTTATAACTTCATTTTGTAATGTTTTATTTTGAAATTGATTAATTATTTCTTGTCTTTTTCTTAAAGCTTCAACCGCTTTATCAATTTTTCCTTCATCAATCAACTTTTCAAATTCTTCTCTAGAAATATTCATGAGTTTGAGATTCTTAGTAGATTTAAGTTAATATTAAAAAAATTAATTTTTTAAAATTAAGAGAGTTGATACAAATGAAAAATAAATGATTCTAAGAAACTTGTATTTCACAATTTATTAGTTTTGAGTGGAGAATAGTTTTATTCTTATGAATTATCATATTAAAATAAAACTTTTAATTGTCGTTTATTTCTTTAACAATTAGAAAATGGTTGTTGTAGTAAACAAATAATAAGAAAATAATAAAAAATTTAAATTTACTAAAAGAGGGTTATCAGAATCAATTCAGTTATTAATTTAATTGATTAATTAAGATAAAATAAGTTAATAAGTAACTATGAAATATACTTCTCTCTGAGAAAATACAAAAAGTCTTTTACAAAAAGCCAAAAATATTATTTGTCTTAAAACAAATTATAAAAACAAACACCTCCATTAAAAAATTGTTTTAAAAAATATTATAAAAAGTTCGTTAGTATATTAGTATTTAATTAAAGAATAAAGAACATATAACAATTATTATTGAAGAAGAAGGAAATAAATTTGGAGGATATGTTAATTAAACATTTGTGATGTTGATGGTTATTTTATAAATGATTTAAAACCATTTGTATTTTCATTAAAACCAAAAGGAAAGTTTGATATTATATTTAAATTAAATGTTAATAAAAAAACTTTTGCTTTTAGGTGGTTTAGTTAATTTCATAAGTTTTTGTTTTCTTTTGGAAATACTGGAATGTAGTTCTCAAAGAAAAGTATAAAACAAATCAAAGGTTAGTTATTGAAGGTTTGAAGAGAATTAGTTTTGGATTTAATTACAATTCTAATTTTACTCCAAACAGATTTATTGTTATTAAAACAAAAAATTACTTTTAATATTTTTGTTATTTGACTTTTTATTTATATATGTGCTTCTTGACTGATCAAACAATTAATGAAAATGATATTTTAGAACATTTTAATTGTATGTTCTTTTGAAGAATATTTCTAAGAATTTCTTTCAATACTCTTGAATTTTTGTTAAAAATGTAAAAATTAAAAAATTAGATAAAACTTAAAAATGTTATAGAAATAAATGCTATTGATTTTTGAACTTTTTATTTGTGGTGTTGTGGCACAATTATGCAACACGAACACATGCACTGAAAGAACTGGAAAAGAAAATAATAAAACAACCAAAATGGAACATCCATTCTTAGACCAAACAGTTCCTGTAAACTTTACCAAATTAAAACCTGAGTATGTTGTTTGTGATGTTAATGAAGCAATAAAACAATGTCAAGAACAGATTAACCAAATTAAAAACATTAAATTTGAAGAAGTTTCATTTGAGAATGTTGTGAGAGCATTTGATAATGCAACAATTGTCATAGATAATGTTATGTTAAAGTTAGAAGTATTAGTATCATGTAGGTCAGATATTGAAGAATATAGAAAAGCATATGATGAAATTCTCCCTAAAGTAACAGAATTTAGAGCAGCCCTTCATAGTGATGAAGTTATGTTTTCATTAGTTAAAAAGGTATATGAAAACAAAGAGAAATTAGAAGATGATCAAAAAAGACTTGTAGAAGAGAAGTATGAAGACTTTATTGAAGGAGGAGCAAATTTAAATAAAGAGGATAAAACAAAATTAGTTGAATTAACAAAAGATATAACACGATTAACAAAAGATTTTTCTAATAATTTAATAGATGCAGTAGATAAATACACGACGTATATAGAAGATAAAAGCAAATTAGAAGGAATTCCAGAAAATATTATTGAAATGTATAAAAAAGAAGCAGAAGAAAGAAAAAAAGAAGGATATATTATTACATTGAAAGTACCATCCTATTTTCCTGCTATTAAATATTGTAAGAATGAAGAATTAAGGAAAGAATTATTTATTCAATATAATAAATTATGTAGTGAAGGTCAATTTGATAATACAAAGTTAATTCAAGAAATTATTGAAAAAAGACAAAAGTATGCAGAATTACTCGGATTTCATGACTTTAGTGATTTAGTTACTAAAAGAAGAATGGTTAAAAGTGGAACAAATGCAATTGAATTTATTAATCAATTACATGATAAAGTTCAAAGCTTCTTTTATAAAGAAGAAGAGGAGTTAAAAGAATTTAAAAAAGAAAAATCTGGTAATAATCAATTAGAACCATGGGATGTAAATTATTATATTGAATTGATGAAACAAGAAAAATATAGTTTCAATGAAGAAGAGTTTAGAGAATATTTTACAGAGGAGTCTGTCTTTGGTGGATTATTTGAAATATATAAAAGATTATATGGAGTTTCATTTAAATTAAATAAAGAAGTCCAAGGGTGGCATAACGATGTTAAATACTATGAAGTACTAGAAAAAGATGGTAGTGTTATTGGTGGAGTCTATTTTGATTTATATCCAAGAAAAGGAAAACGTTCAGGTGCTTGGGAAGAAATGTTAAGAGTAAGTTATGAAAATGAAAATGGTACTTTTATTAAACCATTAGGTATTGTTTGCACTAATATTACACCACCAATTAATGGTATTGCAAGATTAAATCATGATGAAGTAGAAACAATATTCCATGAAAGTGGTCATTTAATGCATACCTTGTTTAGTAAACAACGTTATGCTTCTTTAGCTGGTACAAATGTAGCATGGGACTTTGTAGAATTACCAAGTCAAATAATGGAAAATTGGACATTTGAAAGAGAGGCATTAGATTTATTCTCACAGTTTGGAAACGTTAAACCAATACCAAAAGAGTTATTTGATAAAATGTGGAAAGCAAAGAATTATATGTCTGCATATTACACAATGAGACAATTAAGTTTCGGTAAAATTGATTTAGAGATTCATAGAAATTATTTAACAAGTGGATTATCGTTAGACGATTTTATTTATCAAAAAGAAAAAGACTACAAATATCATTTTAATATTAAAACATTTTCTATCATTAGAACTTTCCAACATCTTTTCGCTAATTTTATTGGATATGCATGTGGCTATTATTCTTATAAATGGGCTGAAAGTATTAGTGCTGACGCTTTTGAATATTTCAAAGAAAATGGTATTTTCAATCAGTCAATTGCAAGTAAATTTAGAACAAATATTCTTTCAATGGGTAATTCAAAACCTGCTGATGAATTATATAGAAATTTCAGAGGAAGAAATCCAGATTTTACTGCTTTATTAAGAAGATCTGGTTTAATTGAAAAGAAATAATTCAAAATCCCTTTTTTTCATTCGTTCGTTTTTATCTATTGATTGTAAACAGAGGTTCTTTTGAAACGACCTTTTTCTTTTTTCTTTTTTATTCCTTAGTTTCTAAAAAGATAGATAAACAAGTTACTGAGGTTGAAACGAACCATTCCTACATAATCAACAAAGCAAATCTAACTACTTTATTATGTTAATCATTTTCTTATTTACATTATTTACTCTGATTATTGCTACTCCAATATCATGTAATTCTTACCAATCTCATTCAGACTCACATTCTGCCTCACAAACAGATATTGAATTAAATATGAGTTTTGGGTGTTATTATATTGTAACTAGTCAAACTACATTCAAATCTATTAGTGGAGAAGGAACAGTTGTTATCAACGGAGAAATCAATGTTACTGTAAATGATTATAAAGGAGGAATTATTCAATTAAATAATGAAAAGGCGAAAGTTATAATTGTTCAAACTTCAGATTTATCTAACTCTGCTAACTCTAAGTATCAAAAGAAAATAGTTGGAAAG